AAAAAAAAAAAAAAAAAAAATTAAAAAAAAAACCCAAAACCAAACCCAAACCAAAAAAAAAAAAAAAAGTAGCAAAAAACGGCAAATCAAAATCGAAAATAAGAGAAAAATAAAAAACAAATAATAAAAAAAAAAACAACATTGGTGGACCGTTTGGGAAGCTGACGTGGATGCCAAAATCTTTGAATTACAGGTACATGTGGATCAAGGGCACTTTGGTAAATTAACAGGAGGCCACCTCACCAAAAAGTCAAAAAGCCAAAAAAGCTAAAAAGCCCTTCTCAAACCAGGCTTTTTAGCCCAGACTAAAATAGCCAAAAAAATCAAAAAGCCAAAAAGCCAACCCACTTCCCAAACGGAGGCTTAATACTTAACAAGTCATGTTAATAGGTTTATGTTTTCCATTTTTTCTTCGCAACACAACTCGTTAATTCACAATTTTAAATACACACTGATTCTCACGGTTCTATTTGGATTCAAAATATGTCTCAATATATTTAATGTAAATTTTTATTATATCTTAATATAAATTTACTAATAAAGACAACACATATTAAATTTTAAAATAATTTTTTTTTCTTCTCATGCTACACGTTATTCCTATTTTAATCTCTGTATCTTCCTCCCTTCTTCGTCTTCTTTTTCTTCTTCATTCTCCTTCCAAAACTCTAATCCACCCTACCAAAACTCACCCTCATCATCAACATCATTGTTTTTAATTATTTTGAAACCTTAAACCCTAGAAGAAAGTTTGAACAAAATCAAATAATAGATGAAAGTAATAATCAAAATAGTTTTTTTGAAGCAATCCATAAAAAAGGATGTAAGTTTTCATATAAAGAGGTTTCACAATTTTTGTAGAGTACCATCAATTAATTTTTATATCATTTTTTTGACAAAAATTAAAGGGCCCAATAATTAGATTAAGGGGTTGTTTGGGGTGTCATAAATAAGTGCACTTTTTGCATTTTAGTTTGGGAAGACTAAATAAGTGCACTTTTTGACTTTTTATGAAATATGGGTTGGGTTTGGGTTGGGTTTGAAGTGATGTGTTAGAGAGGTGATGTGACTTAAATAAGATGATGTGACTTAAATAGGATAGTAACTTTTTGACTTTTTGTCTTTTTTTAATCATGCCAAACTTGACCTAAATGTTAAGAAAAAAAGATGGATATTTGGATTAACTTTTTAACTTTTTTACAAAAAAATGTGTATTAAAAAATTATATAAATAAGTGTGTAGAAGAAGTTAGTGGAGTAGGTCTACAGGTTGGGCAGAGTAGTGGGTTAGTTAGGAGATGGGAAATGATTGCCTTCTTTTCGGGCTTGAATTGGACGATGTTGTTCGGTCTGTGGGGGCCTACCACAGGTCCCGTTTTACTAATCGAAACCGTTCAATGTGTAGAACTCATCGAATACTATATGCTCGCAAAAAATCACGTTGATTGGATATCGATAGTTATCTGATCGTGTTATTTTTTTTTTTTTATCAACTGTTAACTATAACACCATTCATTTTTATTCAAATTGATTTGATCATGTAGTTAGTGATATTCGATCAACGTGATTTTTTAAAGGTATATAGTTCTGGACGAGTTTTACACATTGAACGGTTCGGATTATCAAAACGAGACCGGTGATGGGCCCCCACGAGCCCAGCATTACCGTCCAACTTTGTGATTTTATATATGTAATTTTTTTTCCCTGTCACGGTACTAAAGGGGTCAAGCCAGTTCCGAAAACTATGTGAAGTTGGTTTGATTAAAATATTATGGATATTATTTTTTTTATGTTTTTAATTTGGAAATAGTGATAACTTTTTTATTTTTTTTTGTAACTTTTTGACTTGTTGAATTTTTTAGAACACCTCAAACTAGGCATAACAATAACATATTATTGGATTTGTTCTTATTTTGTCATTTAAATAGTACATTATTTGAGAACTACTCTTTCTTGTTAGTGCCGGATGCTTATGTGTTTATAAATTTGGTTTTTATTTTTCCACGAGCATTCTTGTGGATAATTTATAATGTAAAAGTTATTTCTGTATTGAAAATTTTATAATGCTTATGTAAGAGTTTGTTTGTTTGTTTGTTTTTTTTTTTTTTGTATTTGAGAATTTTTTTTTGTCCAAAAGAGAAGTCGATAAAATTATCGCTCTTTTCCCTAGTTTATTGCTTCTGTTTTTTTTCCTCCTGTATTTCAATGAATAATGAATTTCAATAAGCTAGTTTGACGAATGAAATTGACTGAATTTTAATTGTGTTTGCATCATAGAGCAGAATAGAATCGACAATGCTAGGTAGCTCAAATTTTTGTGACTCAAATGGCTCAAATCTGTCAAAACGACTTCGTTTTGACAGATTTTGAGTGTAAAACGACGTCGTTTTGACAGATTTGAACCATTTGAGCCACAAAAATTTAAGCTACCAAACATTTTCCGAATAGAATTATGGACAAATTCTATTATTTGAAATTATTATCCAATAAATCAAGGGACTGTTATGAACATATTAATCTTAAAAAACGATAGTATACACATTTGATAAATTCATTTGGAATCCATCAACTGTTGAGAAAAAAAGAAAAACAATAAAAGAAAAGAAAAGAAAAATAAAAAGAAAAGTTGCTAAATGCCCTTATCTTTTTTCTTTGGACCCCCACTTTTTCTATTTTTTTTATTACAATTTTGCCCCAACACCAATTTTCATTTGAAAAATGCTTGGGAGCACTAATTAGTGCTCCCACTAATTAGGTGACAGTGGGTCCCGTCGTTAATGATGTGATGTTTTGGTCTTAGAGTTGTATTTTTTTTTATTTTTTTAATGCATTAGTGTTATTAGTGGTGGTGTTTTTAGTGGGATGAATCATTGTTGTTTTCATTTTTGACGCATTTCTATCCTTTCAACCCCAATCCCAACCCTAACCCCAATCCCTCCAACTAACCTTTTGAGCATCACAACCCTTCCGTCACTCTCTAGGGGAACCCTAGTCCAGAACTCGGCGAACAGTGCCTCGAGCTGCACCACCACCGATTCCAATCTCCCTATTAGCTTCTCATACTTGGTGTCCTCTCTCTCTCTCTCTCTCTCTCTCTCTTTAAAGTTTTCTCTCTCTAGAATTTGCAGAAGGTTGGCTTCGAATCTTAGATCATTCTCTCTTTCTCTCTTCAATCTCAGATCTGCGATGCCCACGACAGACTTGATATTCGAGCCCGGCAATTCCATATTTACAAGCTATTAACGGTCTTGGTGACCGATCGAGAGCTCGTTTGAGAGATTAGGGGGTTCTTCTCAAGCGGTGTGGTCTTAGATATTGAATTGGAGTTCCCTTTCTATCTTCTCTCGTTTCAACGCTGCACAAAGCTCGTTCTGCCGCTTCCTCATTCTCTTCTTCTTCTTTTTCCCATCGTAACCCAAATTGCGAACCATTGCCGCCATCATCGCCTAAAGCAGCTGCCATTGCCACTGTCTTCACCAATTTTTGAAAAACTTAGGCCTAGGATGCAAAATGCTGGAAAGGGGTTGCAGGTTGGCCACTAGAGATAATGGCAGTGGTTGCCAAAATTGGTGAGGATAGGATTTGGGTTGAGGGCTAGGAATTGGGTTTAGATTTGGATTTGGGGTTAGGGGTATAATTGATATTAAGATGGAGATTTAAAGAGAAAATAGAGGAGACTTATTTTTCTAGGTAGGGGTTCAAAAAAAGTAGGGGACCAAAGTAAAAGGGTGGGGCAAAGAGCAGCTATGGGTGATCATGGATCCGTTCAATCCGATCAATTCAACCAAACTGACTCAACTCGATTAATTTTGGGCAGAAGCGTGTCTTTCGATGGACCGATGCGGATGAAATGTTTCAAAAACAGCTGATATGGTTCGGATGGCGAATTAACTAGCCCATACCTACATAAACCTAATCTACTCATAGATAAAGTTCAAAAAAAAAAAAAAAAAATGCTAACAAGTAACAACATATAGTAGAGATAATAAAATATATATTTTTGTAAAAATAAAAAATAATATTTTAAAAATATACATGCGTGGTGCCATGACCTATTATAGAAAAATAATACATATCTTTTCAGATTACTAGTTATTAGAGGTTGTAAAAGTTTTGAATTATAATTTAAAAAAATATTCAAAATTTATAAAATCTAAATTGTCAAATTGATCATATCCATTCACTAAGCTGCATGGCCTACTCAATCTGCATCTGTCAAATTATAAATAAATGTAAATTATTTTTTTTTAATTCACTTAGTTTTAAACGAACGACGAATAAAATGACATCTGACCTCATTCGTGGTCACCTCTAGTGGCAGCCTTCCATAAGAAGAAAAAGAAAAAAAAAAGGACAGCAAAACCCTAGTTATTGGAAATACCAAGAATACCCTCGCACGACGAGGACTCGACTCTGCTCTGCTCAGCTCACTACTCGCCTAGCTAACCAAGAAAGCAGAGTGCAAAGCAAAACCGTGATAATCGCCATGAGAGGAGGAGGAGCTCTTCTTCTCAGGAATGTTGCTCGCAATATTCTCTCTCCAATTTCCAATATCACCGACACATCTCCCATTTCTTTTCTCTCTCCCTCGATTTCTTCTTCATCTTCTTCTTCTTCCAGGTTGATTTGGAGGCTTTTCTCATCCGAAAGCGATTCGTCCAATCAAAACCCTAACCCTAACCCTCTTCCCGAAGAAACGAGCTTGGTGCCCAACACCCAGATGAAGAAGAAGAAGGATGTCTCCGTCGATATTGAGGATGTCAGCAACAAAGGTGCGAAATTGTGACGAAAAGAACGAAGAAAATGCTTTTTTGTTTGTTTTTCCTTTCAATGATTTGGGCTTCCACAAAGTTAAGAACTCAATTTGACTACTAACCCTCAATTATTGAAAAATCTAGAATTCATAATCATGTATTTCTTGCCTTACATTTTCTTAGTGACCAAACATTCCTTCTCTACCCCAATTTCTTTATAATTTTGTGGCTAAGTAAATGATCCTGTTGCACAATGCAGTAATTGGGTTCAAATTTTGACATAGATGCTATACATATACTAGAAGGCTGAAAGAGGAGATTTATTTATTTATATTTGTGAATTGAGGTGAAATTAAAAAAGAAAAAGAAAAAAACTGAAGCAAATTTGAAATAAAAAACTTGAGCAGTTATACTGGGGTAATTTGAGCGTGAAAGTATATGTGACATAGCTTTGCCAAGTGAGTTGTGTTCTTTATATAATTGAATAGATGAATATGTGTATGTACATGTCTTGCATTTCTTGGCTACCAAACATTGCATTACACAAAATTTTGTTTTCTTTTTCAGTTTTTTGATATGTACTTGTATGCATATGTATGCATATATTATTTATGAGCTGGGTTTTGTTTTTCCTTTATTTGCAGTTTAATACAAGTCTGCGTGATTTTGAGGTGTCCAAGTCTTTGCAAACTAATAACCTCTGATTTGTTTTATGGTGGTTGCAGAGCTGAAAATGCGTATACAAAAGTACTTCAAAGGTGATGAAGAGGCACTCCCTTCCATACTTGAAGCAATTTTGGCACGGAAGTTAACAGCAAAGCATGAGGAAACTGATGATGAGATGATGGATGAACTTCGGATGAAGCCACTGGATGATGTTAAGGACAAAGAGTTCGAATCTGATTTCGAGGATTTGTATGAGACTGATGAAGATATTGATGATTTGTATGATGCAAGGGATATTGTGATGAGGAGGATGGTGAAAGATGAATACTTCAATATGGATGACAAGAAGTGGGATGGTATGATTAAGGAGGCAACTGATCATGGGTTTCTTAAGGACACGAGGGAGTGCGAGGCAATTCTAGAGGACATGCTTAGCTGGGACAAGCTCCTCCCAGGTATATCCTTATATGCTTGTGATATTATTTTGGGTAATCTAAACAACTGATTAAGAAAATGTGATATGTCGTTGTATCCTTTACTTCTCTTGCCAAGTAGTTAGTTCTTCCCACATGGGTATTGTGTTTGAATCAATCAATTTCATTGCTATATGTATGCAATGTCGTATTTTAATTGTTGTAATTGTTTCTCTTTCATTACTTTGATAGATTTGAATTTTGATGTGTAGATTCCTCGAGAAGTTTCATGTGAGGAATCTTTTGCTGTCTTTTTATGACCTGCATTGCTTGTACTCTTGTTTTGACATCATGTTGCTTTTCTATATGGATTTATAAATGATTGGTTCAAACCATCGTAGCATTTATGTACGTGCAACAAATAATATACGTCACATAATTTGTTGCATAACTAATACCAAGTCATTTACTAATTTTATGCATCTATATATGTATATATTGTAATTTTGGACAAGGCTGAAACTACTTTTGGTAAAGGTTTTAGCAATGCCTACAAGAATTTCAAAAAAGGGAGCAATGGCCCCATACTAATTTGACTAATGGCTATCTTAATGTGGAATGAAAACTACATGTTTAATAGGAAGATAATATTGTAATGGACACCATTGACCAAGGAACAATGATCTCAAGAAACTCCAAAATTGGAAGCTCTCTAGAGTAATTTGTTTGGATTGAATTCGGACCATATATTCAACGGTTATTTATAGGAATCATGATGTCCTTTCATGATGAACTTGTAGGGAGACATTTTTTGTCTTTGGGTAATACATGTCTTGCACGGACACATGGCAATAATTAAAAAAAGGAAAAAAAAGATACATAAATGGCGGGGATACGATGCAAATAACTATATTTTTATTTGTCACGTATATGAATATATAAATTTAGGGCACATAGATATGCGTGGCATCAATGTATATGTGGATATACTTTATTTTTCATTTTCTCCCCCTTTCGTTTCCATATATTTTCCGAAGGTGTATGTGCCATTTAGGTCCTGAATCATGTGGTATGTGTCCCATAAGCCTTGCAAGTATAAAAAAACAAAATGAACAAAAGTAGTCATGGGCTTTTGAGTGTCCAAATTCCAATGGCCAAGGTAGATTTAGTGTGTTGATCTCAAATGGGCAGATTCTTGTCGTCCAGACTCGGATTTGGGCAAACTTTGTGGCCAAATTGAAATCCCGAGAGTCTAGTTTCTAATGGTGGTGGTTTCATAAAAAATTCAAAGTATAGAGAGAGATATGGCCAGAAAATTACAGATATGTCCAAGGATAAAATCTAAGGCTCAAATCATGCTCTAAGGAGTCTAAGCCTTCTAATACTCTTCCTCCAAGAGTCTCAAATCAAAGGGAGAATATCATAGTTCTCTTCCAACCCCTCAAAGTTAGGATTCTCCTCCAACCAAAATGAGCACAAGAAGCTCTTTTTTGTTATTAAATCGTGCCTATTGTTCTTCCTATTGCCACTTGTTATCTATGTTTTGGTTATTACATTTTGTTACAAAGCTAGCAACATGTTTTATTTGTTGGAAAATTTTCTAGAGATCTTCTGTAAACCAAAACAAGCTTGTGGAGGTCAAATCAATATTGCCTCTGTTTGTCATATGAGTCTCATGTAACAACTCTACTATGTGGCAATAATTACTTACTGCCTCTGTCATGAGTACCTTGTTTCCATTCTACTACATGCAAGTGGTTTGTTCAGTTTTAAATGAATGCCTACACAAAAGCTTAGGGCCTTGGGTGTGGGATGAAGGAAAAGAATAGTGGGTAGAAGAATAAGCCGTAATTACACAAGAGCTGCGTGGAGGATGAATATTTTATAAAAAGGGCAATATTTAGAAGGTTTATCTTAAAGTAGTAATGAAGGAAATCAAATTCCTTCCATGCTGTTTCCTTCACTGAAAATACCGCACATTCTACTTAATATTGATTTAGTTGGATTTTGACAAATACTGTCAGCTTTTATGATGAGTGTACATGCCTCTTTATGAAGTCTAAGTCATCTTATGGTGTTATTTACTGATTGTGAATTATGCTGCAAGAAAAAAAAATATATCAAATTGAAAACAGAATGCATGATGAAATAGGGTAAACATTGGCCAATATTAGGCACACCTCCACTTTAAGTAAATTTCTTGTTTCTTTGGGCACTGGCTATAAGGATTATGATTACACATAGAATGGAGGTTTTGAATAGAGCCCTACTTATTAATGGAAGAAATGGGAAACTGGATTTGGTTGTGTTTCTACCCCTTTTTTAGTAGGGGAGATTTAGCGGACTTGCTTGTCCTTGAATCACTAAATGATTTTGTAGTTTTTACTTGAACTTCTTTTCGAATGGTGTATAGAGCAGTAGTTAAAGCATGAAGGCGTTATAGCTTTTGGTACTAGTTAGTTGATGTAGAAGGCCAAGGTTCATCCTAAAGTTAAGGCTTTGCCCTGGTCCACATACCATTAAAAAAGTGGGAAAAAAAATGGGAACCTCCAAGCTAAAACTAAGCATGTATTATCATATATTTTCTTCTTTTGGAATTTTGGTGGCTTGATAGGAAGTTGAATGACCATTTTGTGGGTTTGTGCATTTGTTGGATATTATTTGGGTTGTTTCTTAAAAATAACTCAAGGATCTTTGAATAGAAAGTTCAGCCACCCGTAAGCCTATCCCTGAATCCCATCATAAGCTCTTCTTGCAGCAGCGGTGAACTAATGAGATACCTATCTGCTAATAGTCAAATTTGATTCTATTTATAATTTTTTATATTACATGGAATAAGACTGTTCTCAGTCTAATTTTTGGGTTTGACAACCAAACAATTTGATGGGATTCTATTGGAGTTATTTGGGGGGACTGATCTTTTGATTGCTCTTTTCCTAGACCAGTTATTTTAGCTATGTGCTTTGGGTCCTTCATCTTACTGAGAGCGCCAAGCAATTTGGTTGGTTACATGGAGTGTGCCCTTGGGAATTTGGATTAACTTGATTGAGAGGCATTTTCATAGATCATGGAAGCCTTATGCTTTATGTGAATTAGATGTGTGCAAGAAACTTAGTCGTTTGATAATTGAAATATTATCATGTTTATGTGCAAAGACACTTCCCATTTATTGGAAGAATGACCTTTTAATGTGTGCAAGATGTGTTGATGTCTTTAATGTTGTCTAACCAATTCCTTTTATTTTCTTTTTTTTAGTTACATTTTGGAATTTATAGATTAGATTGTTAAGAGCACCTAGTGTAAGTCATCAAATATTCACTTTTTCCCTTCAAAACAGTTTTTCTGGATTATGTCAGATATATATGAAATTATGCTGGTATGTAATTCATTCTGTAACGCATGTGTTCAGTTTCCTTCTGATGCACTTTTTTCAGATGCAGTAAAGCAGAAAGTGGAGAAGAAATTCGACGAGATTGGTGATATGGTTGAAAGGGGGGAGATTGAAGTTGAAAAAGGTTATGAACTTTTCAAGGAATTTGAAGATAAGATGGTTGTGGAATGTGCTGAGATGATGGAGACAGAGGGGCCTGCACAGTTTGATGATACTGCTCTGCCAAACAAGAAAAAGGAAATAGATGTCTCCCCAGGGGAGGGGCCAATTCTTCGGTGGCAAACACGTGTTGTCTTTGTTCCAGGCGGTGACTCATGGCACCCGAAAAACAGAAAAGTGAAGTTGTCGGTTACTGTAAAAGAGCTTGGGCTTTCAAAGCATCAATTTCGTCGTCTGAGAGAATTAGTTGGAAAACGGTACCATTCAGGGAAAGATGAGCTAACAATCACCAGTGAGAGGTAAGTCCAAAAATTTACTGTTTGGTTCTTTTTTCTGTCCACAAATTGACTGGCTAATAGCTATAGATATGCATAGAATTTTATGGTATTCATGATCTACAGATCCCTTAGTTTTGGTGATTTCTTTTACACTGTTTGTCTGGGTGTAAATCATTTTCTGGATTTTTTTTTCTTCTTATTTTCCTATGTGTGCAACTAAATGAGAGGAAAATATTTTTAATGTGAATGATTTTATGCTGAATGAATGAAAAATAATTTATGGGAATGAAGCCCTAAGTTATTTTATATGCCTTGAGCTCATACTGTCATTCGTAACCAGTGCTTACAACTGAAAACTTTGATATCTAGGCTGGTAGTCCCTCAGGCATGCTAGTGTCGCATGTTGGACCAATTTTCTACAGCTTTCAGTGTTCAATTTCCGTCTCAAACTCACAAATAAGCATTATTCTATGCGACCACCCTTCATTCGTCAACCTTCAATATATTTAATTCTTGTTCTTTCATGTTTTTCAAATCTTATGTCCATTAATTGTTTGATCATATCCTTCAACCATAACATTTGTTTTCATTGTGGCAGCCAAACACACGAAAATAAGAGAACAAAAATTATTTTACCTATAAAAGTTTTACACCGAAAACATTTCGAGAAGTAAATTGTTTTCCGTTAAATCGAACAGAGAGTTGGTGAAATACTCCTTAAATATGAACAATGATTTGTTGTTGCCAGACACCGTTTAATTTTGTTCATTTCTGGGAGAATCATTTGATGTTTTTAATTATTTGTTTGGCATGATAATAGATCTGACTGCACCTTCTTTGAAATGTATTTTTTTGACTGTGTGAATGCTATGTGACAGATGTAATAATTTGTTTGGGAAATTTTTATAATTGTCTTCTCATCAGGTTTGAACATCGGGAGGAAAACAGAAAGGATTGTCTAAGGACTTTATTTGCCCTGATCGAGGAAGCTGGAAAAGCTAATAAGCTTGTAGAGGAGGCTCGAACTTCATATGTGAAGGAGAGACTCAGAGCCAATCCAGAGTTCATGGAGAGGTTGCATGCCAAGACAATGAGAAAGAAAGTATCTGAGTCTTTGCCTGCCTGAACAAATGGTTAATAGTAGCTCTGTCATATCTAACATATAATTTTTAAAAAAAAGAAAAAAAAAAATCACTAACTTTTTTGCTATATGCGCAGCAGTTTCAAGCAGTAGTTCCATTTTTGAATTTGAAAAGTTTCTGATATGCAAAAATTTTCTAGTTCATCTGTTGAAATTCATAATGCCTCTTGTTATGGTGGTTTTAATAGTTTCTTTTTGTAATGTACTTTTCCTTTTGTTGATCTATCTATTTGTTTTTGACTGACCCTTTTTGTCTGGTATGTCAGCTAATGGCCTTGGGCCATTTGTGCAGACCACTTTTATGAAATCATTTGAATAATAAGCTTTACAATAAAAACTGTATTTTTTTGTGCATTTTAGTTGTGTAGGTATTGTGTTATCATTAAGCTTGTATTAAATCAATTCTAGGGTTGGGTGTCTTTTGTGCCACCTTGTAAAAAGGAATCAAGAATTGGAGTCATTGCAGACACAACTCAATTGTTTTTGCAATTGTGCTATAAACAAGGTTTTATGCATTCAAGCCTGGGGAAGTGCTTTGACCAGGTTTATTGGTAGGTCAAGTTTCAATATTTTGGGACTCATTAAAGTAGGAAACATTACCAATTCTTTAGCTAAAGTTGATCTCTATTTTTGAATGCCTACGACCCTATTTGATAATAGTCTCAAATAGTCAAAATGTTATTAAAAAAAATTAAAAAGTAAAAAATCATACCCTAAAGTTAAAGATTATTTTTTATTTTTTCTACTTTTTGTACAAAATCAGTCATTTTTGAATATTTTGATTTTGTACCTCATATTTTAGTTAAAAGGTCATTTTTAAAAAGTTATTAAAAAAATTAAAAAGTAAAAAAATTTTACAAAGAAAAGTTAAAGATTCTTTGTTTTTTTTTTTTTTTTTTAAACTTATTGTACAAAACCAAAATCATTTTTAAATATTTTAATTTTTTATCTCATATTTTAGTTAAAAGGTTACTTCACCAACAAATCCAACAATAAAGAAAAAGTGAATAGCCATGTATATCTCTTCATCTGTAATAGCAAGATTGGTAGATCTCCAATTCATGAAAATAGATAATCAATTACTGCGAAATACCCATAACACCAAATCTATAAATTGATCCCAAAATTCTTAAAACATGACCTTTAAATTTAGTGGGTTAGATGTTAATTGGTTGATTTCTAAACAAATCAATAAGTAATAGACAACAGCCAAGTCAATGGATAATTTAGGGAAATTAACAGCTTAGTGTTAAGTTTAAAAAATAATTTCAAATACACGATAAAGTTTATAAAATTATTTTTTATTATTGTAAAGTTTATGTAAATATTTTTTTAAAGTTATACTGAAATGAAATTTCTCTAAATTTTAAGAGTGATGTTTTAGGGGGCTAAACTAGAGATCTCTATAGAATTAGAGAGGAGCTTAATCCAAAAGCCATTTTAAATTAGTAACTAAGGAAATGAATTTTTTTACTCACAAGATTAGAATAATGAAGTTGACACCAAGAAATGATTTGAAACACACTGCATTCATTGAACAATGCTTATTACTATATAACATGGAACAAAAATGAAAAATACAACTATAATGCTTCATCTAAGCGCACACATTACATATATATAGGTCTACATAAATGACATCATTTGATCTTTTGATTAATAAAGAGTTATCTAAATTTATCAGTTGACCTTACGACAATTTTCCCTAACTTCTCCATTAGAACCTTCTTTAACATCGAGCAAGCCCATTTTCACCATTGCTTGCTGAAAATCGAGGAAAAATCTTGCTTGGTTCATCGCATAGGCATTGACAATGCTCCTGGTCCTGGCACTGGCATATAAGGTTTGGTCGGAGAAGAGCACTCCGAAACTCCTCGTGAGCTCATTGAAATAATCGTTGTCGAAGGAGTTTCTGGTGGCATCGAAGGTTTGCTCAGCGTTGTCACCGGCACTGCATGTTTTTGACAATGTCTTGGCGAAGTTCGAGTCTAGGGTTGGATCGGTATCGTGAGTTGAATCGAAATTGCTCAATCGAAATTTGAATGATGAGCACCTTGCTACTCCTAGTGTATGTGCCCCTACAATTTCCCAAGGCTAAATCATTTTAAAAAAAATGAAATATAAAATAATAATAAAAAAAAAAGGAAAAGTATTTATGTTGGGAGCTTTTTTGATAAATCTGCTTTCTAAGAGTTTTATTCCATCCAACTTATATTCTTTTTGGCTATTCCATTAGGTTTTATTTGAGATAAGAAGACCAAAATACCCTTTTTATCTATTTATGTTCTATTTAGTTCACATTATTTTCTTATGTTTCAATAAGTCCTATGGGTGACATAATTACCAAAATACCCCTAATGTGAATGTTCACACCGTCAATGTGAATGTTCATATCGTCAATGTGAAGGGGCCTGGCCCATGTCGATCCTCGTGGGTGCCCGGAAAAATTCGAGTCGGGCCGGGGCCGCCCCGGTCCGTTGACAATGTGAATATTCACATTGACATGTTAACATTCACATTGATAAGAGTATAAAATTGGCTCGCGGCCCATGGGCGGCCAAAAGCCCGCCCGCGGCCCGGGGCGGGCCTGGCCCGACCTGACCCGTTGACAATGTGAATATTCACATTGACATGTTAACATTCACATTGATAGAAGTGTAAAATTAGCCCGCGCCTCGTGGCTGCTTGAAACCCGCCCACGGCCCGTGGGCAACCCGGGGTGGGCTCGGCCCGACCTGTTAACAATGTGAATATTCACATTGACATGTTAACATTCACATTGATAAGAGTGTAAAATTGGCCCGCAGCTCGTGGGCGGCCCGAAACTCGACCGCAGCCCGAGGCGGGCTTGGCCCGACCGGTGACATTGTGAATATTCACATTGACATGTTAACATTAACATTAATAGGAGTGTAAAATTTGCCTGCTGCCCGAAGCTTGCTCGCGGCCCAAAGTAGGCCTGGCCCGGGCTCGAGCCTAGTCTGAGACCCTAGGCTAGGGCCTGGGCCATCACTTTGAAGCCCGGCCGAGCCCATTGGCCCGGTTAAGGCCCATTCAAGGCTCGGTCCAAGGCCCGGCCCGTGCCGAGGCCTAGTGTCTTTTTTGTGGAAAATAATAAATTTTAGTAGAAAAAATTAAAAATAATTAAAAAAAAATGGCCAGGCCCGCCCAAGCCTGATCCAAGCCTGAGGCTAGGCCTAGGCCCATCGGTTCGACCCGAGGCTCGGGCCTGGACCCAAACGAGCTTGTCCCGGGTCGTGGGCAGGCTTTGGGCAGCCCACGGGCCGCGGGCAGGCTTTGGGCAGCCCATGGGCCATGGGCCAATTCTACATTCCTATCAATGTGCATGTTAACATGTCAATGTGAATATTCACATTGTCAACGGGCCAGGCCAGGCCTACCTCGGGCCGCGAGCAAGCTTCGGGCAGCGGGAAAATTTTACACTCCTATCAATGTTAATGTTAACATGTCAATGTGAATATTCACAATGTCACGAGTCGGGCCAGGCCCGCCTCGAGCTGCGGGCCAATTTTACACTCTTATCAATGTGAATGTTAACATGTCAATGTGAATATTCACATTGTCAACGGGCCGGGTCGGGCTCGTCCTGGGCCGCTGGCTAATTTTACACTCCTATCAATGTGAATGTTAACATGTCAATGTGAATATTCACATTGTTAACAGGTCGGGCCGAGCCCACCTCGGGCTGCCCACGGGCCGTGGGCGGGTTTCAAGCAGCCACGAGGCGCGGGCTAATTTTACACTCCTATCAATGTGAATATTCACATTGTCAACGGGCCAGGCCGGACCCGCGTCGGGCCGCACACAGGCCGTGGGCGGGTTTCAGGTAGCCACGGGGCGCGGGCTAATTTTACACTCCTATCAATGTGAATGTTAACATGTCAATGTGAATATTCACATTGTCAACGGGTCGGGCCAGGCCCGCCCAGGTCGCGGGCGGGCTTTTGGCTGCCCATGGGCCGCGGGCCAATTTTATACTCTTATCAATGTGAATGTTAACATGTCAATATGAATATTCATATTGTCAACGGGCCGGACTGGGCCCGCCTCGGGTCGCCCATGGGCCGCGGGCGGGTTTCGCGCCGCCACGGGACACGGGCCAATTTTACACTCCTATTAATGTGAATGTTAACATGTCAATGTGAATATTCACATTGTCAACGGGCCAGGCCCGCCCTGGTTCGCGGACTGGTTTCGGGCCGCCCACGGGCCCATTTTACATTCCTACCAATGTGAATTTTAAAATATGAATGTTCACATCATAAAATTGCTAACCGTTCAAAAAATATTTATAAGGGTATCAAAATTAAATATAAGGGCATAAGTGTCCAAGAAAATAGTGTAAATCAAGAAAAATGATTTTATGGAATAAAGCTATACATACATGGGACTAAATGGATTAAAAAATTCCTTCATGGACTTCTTGGGTTAAAACACTTATAAATGAGATTTATCAATAAAAATCCCATTTATGTTTGGTTGTATTTTTATTTTTTTGCTTTGTTTTTTTAAATAAAAAGAAATAAAAGTTTGAAAACAACTCACTTTTATTTTTGTGTGGAATTTTTTTTTAAAGATTCAAAACGATTTTTTGGTTTTTTTTTTGGAAAGTGAGTTCTTTTCAAGTAATGGCTCAAAAAATAAATTGTATAAAGGTTTTTACTAGAATGATGCAAGTAATTAAAATAATAAGTCTCAATATAATTATGTCATTTTGTACACATATAAATTTTGTATATTTCTTTAATTTGTATTTCATTAAAAGAAAACTATAAGAATGATATTTTAAGAGTCTTGTAAAGGAGTGTGTTATCCTAATTAATAAAATTTAAAATAGTTATTAATTTTTGTAGCACACACCTTTATTTTTAAAAAATGTCTTATTTTATTTCAAACTCACTGATAATTACTCTTAATATATAAAATTCATATTTTATAACAAGTGTGGCTTCAAATATAAGGTCACTATCATTAATAAGATAAGCAAAAAAGTTAAAAAGTAGAATCCAACAAACCCAAGAAGATCTTGACTCTTAGAAAGCCTTGTCGCAACATATCAAGTTAAATTTAGTTTTTATTATTTTTTAAGCTTGTCATTTTTTGTTTTCGTGGTTTCCCACACGACATTTGTTTGAAAATTATTGAGTTCAAAGCGAGTAAAACTTGCTATAAATAATAATAATTTCTCCTTAAAATTTTCAACTTAAATCCCTTTCATCAAATTCATCTATTCAAAACGAGACTAAAATAATAATAATAATAATAATAATAATAATAATAAATTACCAGATAAAGCAACCATTTCTTGAGCAGAGAAGCCATGTTGGGCAAACATGGTGATGAGTTGGGAGGTGTTGAAGAAAGGAGGAGGGAGGTTTCTTGTGTCTTCTATTTTTGATATTCTTCCATCCTTTCTTCCTTTTGGTATCTCATACACTGGACCCCCTGCCTAATGATAGCAAAAATAAATAAATAAATACCTTCAAAATGCACATTTATACATGGAAAGTGTTAGGTTATATGGTCTCGGGACATAAATCTAATTTTGAAACTTTTGAACAATAATTTCAAGCTCTAATCTTTTGAAAGATCGTATTACCTTTATTTATCCGTCTACCATTTTACCCATCTGTTCACGTGTTACTTATTTGTCTACCTAATTTATCTATCTATCCATATTACAATCACCTCAACCACCAGCCATCGTCAACCACCTCTCGGTGATTTTTTGGCAAACAGTGATCCAAGTGGCGTTGGGTAAAATAGAAAAATTATTCTTCAAAACAATAATTTTTTATTCTTACCAAAAAAATTTATTAATCATTTCCTTGTAACCAAAATAAAGTAATCCTTGGACCTAATGCTGTACAACTCTCTACAAATAGACTTCTCAACAATTTTTCCTACGTGTGGATCCTACTGCTTTTGAAACTAGTGGTCAGAAAATTTGATAACAAATCCATTTATATGTGTAGGATTATCCTTTGTGCATAGAGCTTAAAAATTAAAGTGTAAGGCTCCACTCCAATCTGCACAAGCATTCGGTTTGGACTTGGGGGCTATCAAATTTCCCTGTCATGATTTGAGTAGTTGGTTTTGTACGACCCATCATGCACGAAAAAATATCAAAGTAATATGATAATTATAAGGGAAGTGGTTGAGATCTCCTCCAATCACCACCCCTACCACCCTCATACACACGTGGGGCTGGTGATTAGAGGAGAAGGAAAAAAAATGAAAAAAAGAAAAACTGACAAATTAGAGAGAGAGAGAGGGGGTCGTGGGGTGCTTCCTCTAGGGTTCAAGTCATTTTCCTAATTATAATTATGCGATTTTGTTATATTTGTTTAAAAAAAATAAAAATGGCAATAAGTAACTATAAAAATACATCATTAATCTTTTTAAACAAACATAATGAAATCAAGTAATTATGATTATTGGATCGATCTTATTTTTTCATAAACGAACAATTCAAAACCATCACAGTATGACTCGTGGCTTGTGATGAGCGCACAGGTTTGAACTGCGCCAATCTTAAGAGATTGGATACAAGCTGTGCCCAAATTTAAAAATTAAAATTAAAATTTTTAAAAAATTAGAGAGAATTGGAATGGGGAAAACTTACAAAGAAAACAGCATCGCGGGCAGCCATAGCAACAATATCTGCACAAGAAACAACACCAGGGCATTGTTGTTCAAGCTGTTGTTTAGCATCATCTATAATTTCATACCCTCTTAAACTCAAATTTGCTGGGGAGTCCTTTTCTGCTGTATTATCCTTTGTTGAATCAATCAAAACTGAAGCATCACATCCCTATAATATTATTATACACAGAGAGAGGGAAAGAAAGACAAATTAAACAATAAGTTTTAGTAAATAAACAATGGAGAGCAAAGATATACTACTGATGAATTTATTATATCAAGGTTTTAAAATGTTGGAGTTTTTAATAAAAATTGTAATATTAAATTATTTTTTAAATTTGAAAGGTATCATTGAAAGACATTAGATATTCTCTCACTTTAAGGTGCTTTTTTTCAGATTGAAAGGTTTGGTGAAAGAATAAAAGAAATGGTGAGAAAGAAGCTTCTCATCCCTTATTTGGATGATTAAAGGCATGAGAAAGGATGAGAAATGAAGAGAAATCGCTTAAAATTCTTGTTTCGTTTCTTGCCAAAACTGTTGAAATTTGGAGAAATCAAAATTCCTCTTTACAAAAAATTTGTAATACTCAAATTATCTTTCTAAATATAAAACAAATAAAATAAAAGTAAAAGACACATGTGGTTATTTTTATTTATTGTTCATTCAAATTAGATGGTGAAAAACTACAATTTTGTTTTCTCACCTAAAAGTCGTAATCAATTCTAGTTTTTATTTTTTTTCTCACCTAAAAGTCTGCTACAAACTAGCTGATACGCGTGTGATTTTTATTAGGAGATCAAAAAACCTGGAAGTATCGGTCGATATATGTACACTTGAGAGAGAGAGAGAGAGGACCTGAAGGAAGCAGTCATGGAAATGCATTCTGATAAGACCAGCAGCAAGAGTAGGGTCAGATCGCAAAGCTCTGTTGACAGTGTTCTTCACAATTAGATCAGCTAATGGGCAGCTCATGATGTAGTAACTCATGCTCAGACCATATGCTCCATTTCTCATTCCACTTAATATCACTACTAATATTACACCAACCAACTTAGCAATCCCCATCTTTTCTACTCTTTATGATGGAGATTTAACCAGTGAGGCTTTGAATGGATCAAAACATGCAACAAGATGACTTGATAATGGAGAGTAGCTGAGATGGAATTGTATATATAAGCCCAAGAAAAACTATATGTTTACAGAATTTATGATAAAAATGATATGATGGTAACATTTTAAAAATATAAATTATCTTGATGATTTTTTTATATTAATATATATGTTAGTGTAATAAATATTTAAAACTAGTCGAATTATTTTTTGTTAATTTTATGTATAAATTATTTATTTATTTATTTTGTATAGGACTATGTAAGTGCAAATTATTGGGAAGTACTAGATGAATAGAAGAAAAAGTTGGAGATTGTGGTCTATAATTTTCGAGCAAGGATCCTCTAGAGTGATTTTTTCCTAAAGTTTTCTAGAGTGCTACATTGTGTGGTTGAGATTTACTGGCAAGTCACATCAATTTTTCTGATGTGACTTGCCAATAAATCTCAACCACACAATGTAGCACTCTAGGAAACTTTAGAGAAATTTCACTCTAGAGGATCCTTGGTGATAATTTTCTCTACCTAATCATATTATTGTCACTATGTTTTTCTTTCTGGAGAGAGAAAGATCTTTTTTTTGATACGATAATCTTGTAGTTTTTAATGGTTGTTTATTGCATGTAAGTTGACACGTAAAAATGTACACCAAGGATCCTCTAGAGTGAAATTTCTCTAAAGTTTTCTAGAGTACTACATTGTGTGGTTGAGATTTATTGACAAGTCACATCAATTTTTCTGATGTGACTTGCCAGTAAATCTCAACCATACAATATAGCACTCTAAGAAATTTTAGAGAAAAATCACTCTAGAGAATCCTTGCTCAAAAATGTTGATACAGTGGTACTGCACTATTGCTATCATAAATTTACAATCATGCAGTCAAACTATGCATTTCTGGTGGGACTAAAAATTAAACATTTTTTCACTTTAAAAAATCATAAAATATGATAAAAATTAGGCCATGAGAATCTATGTGTCCAAATCTCACCATCTAAAATCGTGTCAAAATTTTCGCAATCCAAAATTCTTGTACGTGTCAGTTATTGGATTATTTTAAAACAAGTGATTACATTTAAATATTATATGGTTGGTTACCCGTGTAATTTTATTATTAGTTGGTGATATTAGTGGTCTTATGATATCACAGTTGTAGTAAATTTTCTTTCATGTTGCACTACAGAAAGTCGTACTGTTTGCCGAGTAAAAATTTAGTAAGTAAAAGTCTATTTTTAGTTGGTACAAGTTATTCGCGACTAATTTTTTTGATCGCTACTTTGGTCGCCAATTGAAAGTAGGGAAAAATAATTAGCGACTAAAAAATTTTTTAGTTTGGAAAAAGTTGTATTTGCCAATTAAATTTTTGGTCGCTAAATATATAATTACCGCGACTAATTTATTTTGTAGCTAAAATACTTTAGTCACCAAAAATTATATTTTGCCAACCAAAAATGTCAGTCGCCAAAAGTAATGTTTGCGCGACTAAAACTTTAGTCGGCAATAGACTTATTTGTGACCAAACACTTTGGTTGCCAAAATCAATAATTTTACTAGCTAATTATTTAGTCACCAAATGTAACCATTTCGCCTCTCAACATTATGGTCGCCAAATATGAATAGTAAAACACCGACTAATCACTTGGTGGCCAAAAGAGGAAAAATCAAACCAAATTTTGGTCGCCAATTCAATTATTTTTGTCTATCAAAATAGAAACAAAATATAAAAAGAATTCCATTTGACTTGTATGATATATAACAATCCACTACAACAATTTTCACTTTTGGCGACTAAATTTTTAGTCACCATGGGCTTTACCGACTAAATTTTTTAGTCGCAAAATTAGTAGCAGAAAAGTGGTCGGGAAAGCTAATTGGCAACTAAACTTATTTTAGTTGCCAAATGTATTCATTTGCCGACTAAATATTTAGTCGCCAAAAGGTTGGAAAATTAATTAAATAATACATTTTCGCCAACCAATTTTTTTGTTGCCAAAAGCCTCAATTATTGTTAACGATCAAAGATTTAGTCGCGGAAAAAGTTTTTTGCTACTAAATTTATTAGTCGCCTAAAGTAAATATTGATGTTTTGGTTACTAAAATTTTAGTCGCCTAAAGTCAAACTTTTTTGGTTACTAAAATTTTAGTTGGCAAATAGTATTTGTTTTGGCTACTAAAAATTTAGTTGCCTAAACTCCCACATTTTTTGCTACTAAAATTTTAGTCGGCTAAAGTGTTTTTATTCATCAGTTTTTATTTTTAGCTACAAAATATTTTAGTCGCCAAATGTTTGTTTTTTTTTTTTTTGCTACAAAATTTGTAGTCACCAAATGTTTGATTTTCTTTTGGGTACAAAATGTTTGATTTTATTTTGGCTACAAAATGTTTAGTCACCAAATGTTTGAACTTTTTTTTAAATGTTTTTTTTTTTTTTTTTTTTTTTGCTGCAAAACGTTTAGTCAGCAAAAACATGATATTATGTTTTATTGCAAATATTATAATGTGTCCATAACCTGTCTGTATTCTATGCAAACTGTAATATGTATATAAATAAAATGATACATAAACTATCAATCATTCCACAATCTGCATCCGTATACAAAAAATAAATAACTTTAACTGTCTAAGTACATACAAACCAACTATTGTCCAAACTAAAATAATAATTCCATACAAAATATAGAATCATACAAAAAGCAAAGCCTTCCATATACAAAAATTACATTTATTACCATGTGAAATGACCATTTGGCATGGTACAAATTAACATTGTAATCTGTACCACAACAAAAGGTGATGTATGTACCAAGACAAAAGTACATCTATGTACCACGACAAAAAATCATATATATGTACGGCGACAAAAGGTGATCTATGTACCATGCCAGTAATTATCTATTGGTTGCCAAAATTTTTCTGTATCAGTAATAGTTAACTGCACAAAAGCCGGGGACGACAAAAGTATTGTATTACTTCTATACAAAAGTACAATTTCTTCTCCATACACCAAAATATTTCTCTGAAAGTCCACGCAACAAAGTCATCTACAAAAAACAAAAAAAAAACATTAGAATTGGACCCAAAAATACCACTTCATGAATGAATTTGGCAACAAGTGACAAATAACATATCAAAGAAGCAACCTCCCATGATGAATCAATTATCAGTCTTTCTATAGTTTTTCTAAAGTCTTTTGTTATAAGGAACATTGTTAAATGCAGAACAATCATTACTAAATCTTTCATTACTAACATAAAGCTCATGTAACAATCTTCTATTTGTATGCAACATGTATCCAAATTCTGTGGCTAAACTAATATTACAGCCCAATGTGAATAGAAAATATTCTTTTTACCAACTTCTTCATTATTTGTTTGCAAAAGGCACTTGAATCATTAGATTGGATATAAAATCATCCCTACTTATTAATGTCTGTTGGTGCCATTTCATTCAGGATATTAGAACATGTGAGAAAAAAAAAATCATTTCATTCAGGATATCCATCCAAACTATTCAGTATAGCCTGTAATTTGTAAGAATCATTTAAACCAACAAAATCAAGTAAACCATAAATATCTAACAAAATACATAAATCAACCAATACTTAACATGCTTAATTAAAATTATCAACTATTATAAATTTTTATCCACAAATACTATGGGCTTGTTTTTACAAGTTAACAGTTGATAATTCAAAATAGAAATTGAAAGTATCTCATGTGCTACTTCCCAATAATCAATTTATATAAGTTTTATTTATGGCTCTTGCTTTTCAATAATTAGTATTTTAAGTTAGATAAAATTTATTTTACCTTTTTGTGATTTGAGGGCAGAATACTTTATCCCTTATAGTTCAAATATAGTTAAAAAATCTCCATATGCTTTTGGACTAAAGTGTAGCGGTTAATACCGTTAACGATAAATGTGAAATGACTGTAATACTATTAAATCCTATATTTTTTTTGTTATTTTGTTTCTCTCTCCTCTATCATATATCTAATTTAGAATGCCTAAATTAATTCAATTAGGTCACAATTAATTATAAATTCTTAACTATTATTTTAATTGTATTTTAGATCACAATCAATCCTAAATATTTAATTATTTATTGTAATTCTTAACTTTTTATTTTAATTTTAATTTAATTATATTTTATATCACAATCAATTCTAAATTCTTAATTATTTATTTTAAGTTGATTATTTATATCTGATTTGGGTCATCAATGAGATTAGCCGGCTTACCCGGCCTACAATTATTGTATCCATGTCCCATATATTAATGAATTTTTCGGATTTTAACCAATTAACAGGCTTGTATGGGCCAGACTTATTTAAAAAAATTAAAATCATGTTCCACCCATAATCCTAAATCTTACTGGCCAAAATCAAATTAAACCGGACTATACATTTTTTATTAGACTTATATTCTACGCATTTATTTTTTCTTTTTTAATAATTCATATCATCAAATTAATTAATACTATTAAAACAATCAAATTAAAATATAAATTCACCAAATTAACATATTGTGACAATGACAATGTTATATATAAAAAATTGAGAGTTAGAATATATCACCTCACTAGTCACTATCAAATTCAATTTTAATAAATTGTGTTTTGTGTATTTTTTTAAAGTTCAATTTATAAGGATAATATGGGTTGTCAAATATATTTTTTAATGGACAATATTGATTTTAATGGATTAAAATTGAATTTAATAGTGTTTTTTTTTTTGTTGATATTATTAATTTTTTTTGGACGAGATAATTTGAGTTGGGCTAATAAGATGACCGGGCTGGATTTATCCATGCTGGCTTGTACGAGCCGGGTTTATGGACAGACTTGGGTTTCAAATCTTTGTTTAAAATCTTAAATCATCTTCTATGGGATGGAACGGACTAGACAATCAAGCGGACTGGAAGACAGGTTGGGTAATATCGAATTTTTTCCTGCGG